ATCTGTAGATGAATTAAAAATCGGTTGAAGAATTTACGGCTCTCTTCTAAAATGAAAATTTCTATTCCAACATTGACCTAATATGCCACATCTTGTATAATTACTTTTCTTGGTAAGTTTTCTACTTGGACTGTTTTTAAACTTTCAACAAGTTTTTCATATTCAAAGATGAACTTGCATGAAAAGAAGATAAAGCTGCAGTTTCTGGTGTAACGTACCATAAATGTCTTCCAAATTTATGCAGTCCTATTCGGCTAACGATTGCGTCACTTTTTTGTTTTCCAGTCTCCATTTTTATACAAAATCACTTTCACACTTTGAACGATACTCTGCGAAGTGTATATCTTAAAATCTTAACGATTACTAAAAAGGAGACGCTTTGCTACCACCACGGTTAAATTACCGATGAGTAATAATTGAGGACCTTTCTGGAAAAGGGGCACATAAGCCAAAATGTCGAATTGAGTAAACCGCGTCAGAAGTTTTCGTTTTAGTTTTGTCAATATATAACTATGCTTGGATTGTTAACTAATTGGTTCATAATGAAATTTGTTGACCCCTTAAAGTGTTCAGTATAAATTTGTAATACACACTAATGCCATTTTGAAAATAAACTAACATATTTTAACAATTCTATGGGCCCTTATTCCATAAAAATCGAGGAAAAAATCATACCTTTTATATTATTTGAGGTGTTTGAGAAAAATAGAAAATATTACTTTTAACAAGTTTTACAAAAAGCACTGCAGTTATCTCAATTGCTGGAATATTGACATAAAATTTGAGAGAGAGAGAGAGAGAGAGAGAGAGAGAGGGGAACACTTTTAAACATTTGGCAGTTAGTTAGAAACAATTTACCGAAAAGGGGCCCATAGACCTATGGGCCCTTTTTCCAGAAAAGTCCTCAATTACCTTTAAAACGGTCAAAGAATTCCTTCACAGGGGACAGGATCTCAAGTCTCAGGTAGTAATTTACTCACGCAGCGGTGTGATTCAGACGTTACATGGTAAACGCAATACTAACCGAAATTGAAAGATTTTAAATACATAAGTAATAAATTGTATTTTTATTACAGAAAAGTAGCCTAAAATAATAGAACGTAATTTTGTCTGATACTGATATAAAATCATTCTAACTTCAAATTTTAACATAAGTACGGCACGGGTTCCCGTTGTCTCATCAAGCTGAATTTTTGCCTACGCTATTTTCTCACGAAATGTCATGATTCAGAAGGGTGAGACAAACAAAATCGAAAGTTGAAAAATAAGGACCATCCTAATGTACATATTTCCCGATATTCGCACATTTGAAGATCTACAAAATGCA